GTACATCTGAATGTTTTAAAAAATCATTCACCTATAAAATAAAATAATTATTTATTATAATAAAAATTTTTTTGTAATATTAAAACAAATAAAAAATTACCTTCATCCATCTGCATTCAGAAATTTCTTTTTCACATTTTTTAATATTGAAATTAAGAGGAGTTAAGTAAGCAACCATATATATATCAGAACAATTAAATGAATAATCATGAATATGTCTAAAGCTTATTATACACTTGAAAATAGTTTGTATACCAGTTTCTTCTAGAATTTCTCTTTTCACAGCTTCTTCTAAATTTTCTCCTTTAATAAAAAAATTTGAATAAAAAAAAAAAATTTGAATAAAAAAATATCATTATTATATATATATTATGTAATATTAATTACATTAATTTAATATTAATTTATTGTAATAATTTATAAAAAATTATATACCTGGATTGACATGACCACCTGGTAATTTCCACATAGCTTTTTTGTTTACATATTTTTCTTTAAGAACTAAAACTTCTTGAGTTTCTTCATTATAAACAAACCCACCAACTCCTAAATTTGTATGTGCGTAATGTGGAATATTACATTCTTCATTAACTAACCATCGGTAAAGCATGACATAATCTTGTTTTGCATGATGAAATTTAAATCCTTCTTTCACAAGTATTGGTATCCATTCTGAATGTGATAAATATACGCGAAACCATATTGTGCGTTTTTTATTTTGTATCCACTCTTGTAAAGATGCTAAAAAAATTATATTAAAAAATTATGCTAAAAAAATTATATATATAAAATTACATATATATAATACAAATGTTAATTTCTTGTTAGATTCTTTTTCTTTGATTTTGAAAAAATAATAATAATAATTTATGAATTTTTCTAATAATTTTTATATTACATACCTGTAAGACGACGAGCAAATACTTGAGACGTGCAAGATTCTTCATTTGAGTCAATAGTTATTCCATTATAGTGATCATTATTCCCCTTAAAACACTTCGATGCCATAATTACAGAAAAATTACTATAATATGTTTTACGACGCAATATAGTATAAAAGATAATATGATGTCTCACTAAAAATTGTTGTTTTAACCGTAGCAACGTAATGAAGTTTTGAAGTTTCAATCCTACACATTGCAACATTTGAAAATATAAAATATAAACATTTTTGAAAATTTTTCAATGATGATATTTACTATCATATTTTGTATAGATACATAAATTAAAAGTGTTTATGTAACATAATTAAAACTTAAGTTTATTATTTATATGTATAATGTTAGAATAAAAAATTCTAACCTAATATTTTTAAGACAAAAGTATTTGCAATAGAAATATTGTAAAGAAGTATGTACGAAGATATCTTGACTTTCGTATATATATTTATAATGCAATATAATAATATTAATATAAATTCATTATTTATTACTTAATTATAAATTAATAAAATCATTATAAATGTAACAAATTAAAATTTTAATTTATTTAATTATCATCAACATAAATAACATTCTTTTTTTAAAAATATAATAATATTTATGCTAATTTATTACAGAAAAATATAAAACGTATTTATTATAATTTACTAAATTTTTTTCAATTCACATATAATAAATATTACATATAATTAAAATAAAACATGCAAATATGGTAAGTAATAATAAACAAAAAAATAAGTTTCTATTATATTAAAATTTTTAAATATAAAAATTTGATTAATATATAGTAATAATAACAAAAATACAAAATAAACTGAATTAAAAAATATCAAAAGGTACAATCTCGTTTTTTATTCCAAAATGATTCTATATCCTCGTAAACTTTAATAATAGGAAAATTATAATGAAGAGCCTCACAAATACGACAATAGTGTCGCGAAATACTACCAAAATAACCATGTTCATTGATTACTTTGTAATATTTACGCCACTCGTGAAATTCGAAATATTTGTCATCATGTTGATTAAGATAACGAATGTAATTTGCTAAAGCCATTGGATTTGCGAAATCATTAACATGGAGAAATGAATGTGGTGGTAATAATTTCTCACAATCTTTTTTTGATGCACCCATTATTACTGGAATTGCTAATTTATGATAACCATGCCAAAATACTTTTTCTGTTATATATTCTTTACAATTTGAATTTTCAAAAGCTAAATAGAATTTATATGCATTTAAAATAGAACAATCTCTATCGAAATGACCTGGACACGCGGTTGTATTACCGTTTAAACATTTTCCATATATATCAAGATCATTACTGAAAATTAGTTTTAATTCCTTAATATATTTCCATCGTCCATTCGTGCCTGCACAATTACTACCCATCACAGTGACTAGTTTAGTTTTTAATTTTTTTATCACATCCTTTGAAAAATTTATTTCTGGTGAGTGTATAAATGATGTAGAAATCGTTCTACCGTAAGGTACTGGTACATCACTATTCATTCGATAAGTCATTGACCAGTTAAATAAACCATTATATTTGAATAATTGTTGATTTCCATAAAGAAAAGTATGCATTGGTGATTCATCAGTTAAAAAAATCCATCTTTGGTTCCATCGAGTTCTAGTTGGTAATTCCAATGCGTTCCGTGTCAAATGTAAATGAAACACAACTGCGTCTGCTATATCTAAATCTTTCGATCGGTAGCTCAATACACATCGATTAACTGTACAATTATTCCAAGGTGAAAATCTAAAATAAAAAGATCATATTTAAATTTAAACTTAAATTTATGTACTAATTTATTAATATTTAAATTAATAATTGCATTAATATGTATATATAATTAGATATTTTTAATATATTTGTAATATATTAACTTTTTATTTGTAAAATGCTTGATATGCCTGCGTTCCAAAAACTTTCCATGTTTCCAAATTAAAATCAAATATGGTTCCTTTTTTTTATTTATAACTGTTGGCGGTAAACTACCTTCAGAAGACAAGAGCCATCTTCCAAGTAAAGATGTTTTATCAGTCTGATACGAATAAAGGCGCGAATTAATAATGCTATAACTGCTATTAAAAACTCTATAACACTTGTTTTATCATTAATATTTTTTATTATATAAATTTAAATTCTTTTATTTTCGTAATTCGTAGTTTAATTAAATAATAATAGAAAAGTAATTTTAATCAAAGATACACATACCTGTTCTTTTGTAAAATTTCTTTTTCTTGATAAAATCACTAAACTTTCTTTCGTTTGCTTTCGATGTTCTATTTGTTTTATAAATACATCTTTATAAACTTTTTTGTTTAGCAAACTTGGAAAATTAACAAAAATAACACAAAAAATTGTACAACCAATACATAAAATTAATAGTATTTTCAAATATTGTGAAATTCCGAGCATCGCGCTTTAAACTTTTTCGACGACAGAATATGGCAAGTATTAACCGAAGCATATCGGTACTTAATCGCTTTTGCGTTTTTATTCTTTATGAGTTGTTTTTCTATTTTAAAATTACTCTCTTGAATGAAATGAAATTATTAATTAATAGGATACGCTATTCAAACGTTGTTGTTAGAACGATATGAATTTTTGTTGTTAATCTGAAGATTAATGAAATGTAATGAGGTGATGGATGAAAAGATGTTTAGAAGAAAGAAACAGGTCTGACCAACAACTAAGACTACCTTTGACGTATGTTGCAAGTAATCGTTGATCTCGATTGTCTTGGTTAACCAAGTGTAACGATTCATGTAGCAAATTATTAACGTTATCTTCTGCAGTAATAAAAAAATTGCATTCTTTGTTATTTTTTTGTTATTTTTTCAAGAAAAATTTAAATTCATTAAAAAAATATATATATATTAAAAATGAATGAAAAAATAATTCTTAGTAGCTTATAATTTATTTAAAGCTATTAATATCTTTTTTTAATAAGTTTGTTACTTTAATTTAATATTATCCATCAATTATATCTATTATGAACATATTGAAGATTATGTTTAGATTTCAAAATTCGCGCTTATATAACTCAATTTTTTAATATTTGTAATAATTGTAATAAAAATATGAAACTACTTATTCTTTAAATATATTGATCGTAAATATGTTAATATATTTTTATAAATATATTTAATAATACACATATTAAATATTTAAATTTTAACCACTAATCGAATTATTTTAGTTGACACACATTTGATACATAATTGAAATTGTATTGTTGTATTAACATGAATATCGTCATTAAGAGATAAAAATTATTTGTAAATAATTTTAATTGATATATAAAAAAATTACAATAATACATAACAAAAGTATAATAAAAAATTGATAAATCCTTAACCAAATAAATTTAGTTTAATATATACATATATATAAATAGTTATATATATAATTATATATATTATATAAATTTTGTACCTTTTTTAATTTTTTGACAAGTGCACAATATTTAAAAATTGTAATCAATTTATATTTATCATATAAATTATGATCAATTTTATATATATTACGTCGGTAAATGTTTTAATTATATACATAGTTTTATATAAAATCATATAGGTTGGTAATAGCTAGGAAATTTTTTGAAAAAAAGTTTTTCTTTCTTTTATTGTTCAGTTACTAGCGAATAGCACGTGTAAGAGATAAATGACAATGAGAATGTTAAGTGACAAAGTTAAAGATTGTAATAATGATAATGAAAATATAGATTGTTTGAATTTTAATGATTTATCAAAGGAACATATATTACAATGTATTAACATTATTTGCCATTTAACTGAAGAAAAATTAAAAACTAACAATGCATTGTTCGAAGATGAAAGTCAACCAATTTTCATGCAAGTAACATGTATTAGAGTACCTAAAACTCCAAGAAGATTTATGAGAATGTAAGTTCATACATTTTGAATATATTTATTTTATTAAATAAATAACAAATTATTTTTATATATTAAATTAATATAACGTATATTTATATATTTATCTATAATATATATTTTTTGATTTTTATGAAAAATCATGATAATGATTTAACAAAAAAATGTTATTTATTATACAATTTATTTTTAGATTATTACCACATTCAATAATATCATCAAATGATGAAATTGCACTTTTTGTTGGTGATCTCCAAAGAGGAAGAAGAAGAGACTATGAACCAACAATAGAATATTATGAAAATTTATTACGCAAACATGGTTGTACAAAAATAAAAAGTATAATACCAATGAATCAAGTGAAAACTGAATATGATCAATATGAATTAAAAAGAAAACTTGTTGGCACCTACGATTATTTTCTTGTAGATGGAAAAATAGCTGGTCATTTATCTCATTTATTGGGAAAAGAATTTTATAAAAAAAGAAAATTGCCAACATCTATTAGAATGTTGAGTAAAGATTTAAAACATGAAATAGAATATGCTTTAAGGAAAACTGTCATGCAAATTCATTCTTATGGTGATACACATATAGTTCAAGTTGGGCATACTTCTATGAAGAAGAAAGAAATTTTAGAAAATATATTAGCAACATGTCATTATTTATCTAAAAATTATCCAGGAGGTTGGATTAATATTCGTTCTATTCGTATTAAAACATCTATTAGTCTTGGTCTACCAATATATATGACATTGAGTAAATATTAATTCTATATTTAATTTTAATTATAAAAATGATATTTATATAAATATATTCATATATATTCAATATTTTTCTTTATATATATTTATATATATTTTTCTATATTGTTTTAGAAGATAAATGCTTAGTTGATGTGCCAGTAACGCAACCTAGAAGACCAAAAGCATATCATAATGTATCAGGAGAACTAACTACTGCACCTGGTATTGCTACTGTAACTGTTACTCCTGAAGGAGATATTACTGTTAAAAAAATTAAAAAGAGAATCTTTCTTCAAAAAAAAAATTTACAAAATAAATAAAATTCAACAAATAAAAAAATTGATTATTTTTATATTACTTTATTAAATCTAGTAAACAAAGTTAAAAAATTATTTTTCTACTTATTATTATCTTAAACATTTGTTCTATTTAAAATTTGTAATTATTGCACTTGAAATTTTATATACTTAATAATATGTATTTTAATTAAATATTTTTTTATATCTACTTATATGAAAAAAACAAAAACATTCTACTTGTAATACTAATAATTAATATAAAATAGTCTGATCTTTTTTAGAAATACTTTGATAACCATTTGCTGGCATTGTTGGAATGTTATTTGAAATACCATTTGTATTTTGAATATATTTATATGTGTTTACAGCATTTGTGACGACTTCTATTTCTTGAAAATTCTGAAGTCTTTGAATATCTTCATCTTTTCTCAACCTAGTATTGGGCAGTTTTCTTAATTTTACAATTTGATTAGGTTCAATATTCAATTCTTGACAACATATACGAATTAATGTTTGGTATGATAAATCATTTTGTGGTAATTCTATTTCTATGAAATCTGGATCAGGAGCATCGGCTACACGAATTTTTAATACCAATTCTAAAATAAAAAATGTAAATTATATATATATATTTTTAATTATATATAATGTATGTTATTTATTTATATATGTTTTATTTCATTGTTTTAATAATATTCATATATAAAAATCAAAATAATAAATAACAAAATGTAAATTTCTCACCATCTTGGTATAAACCATTATTTTTTATTTTAGAAATTCCTGAATCTATAGTTCCATGTACATAATCATTTTTAATATATTTGGGTATTATGTTATGAACTGCTGGTTCACTTAAGACTCTTTGAGAATCAGTTGGCATATCTAAAAGCTGTAAAATTTGTGGATTGGTACATAAAAATGCTGGTGTTTCTCCAATTTCAGATCTTATATTCTTATCTGCACCATTTTTTAACAATAAAGCAGCTACATCTAAGTAGCCTTTTTTACATGCCCAATGTAAAGGAGTCCTTAAAGGAGAAATACTAATTATGTTATTGTTTTGACATTTTAAATAAAGACACATTATATGTTTTTACTATCATCATATATTTTATATATTATCTACTTAAAAAACATATGTAAAAGCATACGTAATTTATATTCAAAAACATATGTAAAAACTTTATATAATAAATTATGAAAATAAAATACCATCCATTAACAGAATGTCGTGTATTAACATCAACACCTAAATTAAGTAATTCTTGAACAACATCAGTATCACCAACACAAGCTGCTTTTCTTAATCGTTCTTCCAATATTCTTTTATTTTCCATATTATCATAACTCATAAATAAGTCTACAAGTTTCACATTTTTTTCCATTTCGAGTTTTTCTAGGACATTTTGAAAGTACAAAGAATAGCATTACTTGAATGATGATAGGTCTTTGAGGGATTCAAACTCGATTGCTATCTAAGCGCCGCAGGTGGTAACTTAGAAGAATCTTAATAATCGTAATAGATATACAATCAGATATATTTTTAAATTTTAAAATTATTTCAAGATTAAAATTTTTTCAGGATTAAAAAATTAAATATTGATTTAATTTTCAATTTTTTGTTAAATAGAATAATACAATAATGTTTATTGTTATAAATAATTTAAATTTGTTTGGAGTAATTAAGAATATTTTTTAATTATGTTTTAATTATGTAATATTTGATATAGTAATAATAATAATTAAGATTTAATATAGTTTTAATATAAATTAAAATATTTATCACAATAATGTATTATGGAAATTAATTCCAGTTGAACTTTACGCCACCTGGAAACAGATATTGTATCACAATAATTATCCACTAGCTAAATTTTACCTAGCCTATCGCCATTTTAGAATAAAAATTTGTTTTAAGAGCAATTGACATTTGTTAGCTTCGTTGTTATTTATATTATTAATTCTTCGATATAGTTGTATTTGAGATAATAAATTGAAAAATGGGCGAAGATTATAATGGAGGTAAGTATTTTAAAGGTATTTTTAGAGATCTTTGTTAAATATACTGTGCTTTTTGCCACTGTTCCCGCGTTACAGCCAGGTAAATAAGTCGGGTGGATGATTGTAATGGCCGGAGAAACATTCACGAGAATAGTAAACATATCTTGAAGCGTGCTCTTTTAATAACTCTGAGAAAATCTTAAACCATCAAACATTTAATTAATTTTAACGAATAAGATAACATTTGAATATTTTTTGCAAGATCTTGTGAATTTATCGATAACCTGAAAATAAGCATCTACGAAGATTATTCTTATGGGTACATTTTTCATTATATTTATAGAAAATAATATATCACTTTAATAAGTTTGCACTATCTTATTGATTTTGATTATTTATTTCTTTAGGAAAATGTTCATGATTTTTGAAATTGTAATTTTGATTTTTTAGATTTAAATAACAGATATATATATATATATATATA